CCCGGCCCCGCGGGCGGGACGGGACGGGACGGGACGGGACGAAACGGGAGAAGAGGCGGTGCCGCCGCCGCCGCTCGCATCACAGGCGCCCGCCCGGCCGCACCATGCACGGCTCGCCCTGCTCGCACGTGGGAGATGCGCACGCGGTAAGAGAGACCCCCGTGGGCGCGCGCGGCACGTGCGTCCCGGGCCGTGGGCGCCGCGCCGCGCTCGGGGGCCGGCAGAGGCTGCGGGCGGCCGGGGAGCCGGTCCGTGCCCGGCGCGGCCGTTCCCCGCCCCGGCGGGGCCGTGGGCACCGTGGGAGGGGGCCCGGGCGCCGCTTCCCGGCGGGATCGCGGCGGGACGGGCGGGAGGCGGGATGCGGGGTGAGCTGAGGACGCGGCTCCGAGCCCGCCCGCCCCCAGCGCCGCCCTGTCCCCCTTCCTGTAGGGAGAGCTCCTGCCTGGTGGGAAAACTTGCCCGTAAATACGGTGTGTGTATATATACTCATATATATGTGTGTGTATATATGTATGTGCATATATATATATATATATATATATATATATGTCTTTGGTTGGGTGTGGCAAAGGGAAGCCTCCCTCACATGCCCTGTCTCCCGTTGGAGAGGCCGCCCAGGCTTGCAGGCTGCTCCTTCTCATTCCCATTTTCCTTATTTTTTTCAATGAAAATACTCAAACATCCTCCTCATATCAGTTAATTAATGATTTTTTAATGCTATAATCGCTTGCTGCCCCTAGTCCTGTGTTTCCCCATCTGGTACTTGGCTGTTTGAGGGAAACCTCGCTGTGGGTGCAATACCCAGTGACAATAACACATTCATTATTTTATYCCCGGTGTTTAATGCCCGTCCCCGTTGCGGGGACAGTGTCCCCTAGCAGTCAGTCCCGGTGACAACGCACAGGTTTTCCATGAAACAGCTCGGGGTTCCAGAATCTTCACCTGCGCTTCCCAATCCCAGCTTTTCCACCTGGATTTGTGCATGTGAAGGCCAAGGGAGGCGGGACGCTTGGTGGTGGCTGCAGAGGGAGGGATGAGAGCCCYGTAGCATCAGCTGAGATTTATTTCTCTAAATTATTACAGGATTACTGTTAAGTAATGGTCATTTTTTGGGCCCAGGAGGTAGTTTTGCCTCTCTAAACTTCACTTGGTCATTTGGGAAGTTGAGGCTCTTTTCTTTCCCCCGTATATGGGGTGGGTTTGCACACAGCAACGTAATCCAGGAGAGTAACTCTGAAACCCTGGACTTTGTGCTCTGTGCATCAGTTGCTTTCCTGGAAATCCCTCCTTTAGAAGGCAAAAACAACAAGAAAGATAATTAGTGAGGGTGCCAGAGCCCTGGAACAGGCTGTCCAGGGAGGTTGTGGAGTCTCCTTCTCTGGAGRTCTTCCAGACCCGCCTGGATGCCGCCCTGTGCTCTGGATGTCCCAGCTGGAGCAGGGGGTTGGACCAGATGACCTCTGAGGTCCCTTCCAACCTTGAACRTTCTGTGATTCCATGAGGAGCCCTGCGTGCTCCTTGAGGAGGAGGAGGAGGGYGGGAGCGGAGCAGGTTGACGCCGGCCTTGCCCGGGCCTTGTCCCTCCTTCCCGTGCGCTTCCCGGCGGGCAGGCGGCGGTGCCGGTGCCGGCCTGGCTCCCTGCGCGCGCTGACCGCCGCGCCGCCCTGGCCTGCAGGTGGACGTGGCCGACATCTGCGCGTCGCT